TCTCATGTGGCTGCACCGTCTTGCTTGAGGAAATTATTGCCTCTAAGATGTCTCCTCCATGCGAGACTCAATCTGTTTTTATAACTCTGTGTTTGAAGGATAATGATACTTTGACAATATTTTTTTGACAACATTTTAATATTGTCTACGTGTCATTCTGTGATTGGTCTATGTTGGTGTTTATGATTATTTATTGATTGTGGAATAATTTTGGACCAATCACAGAATGACACATAGACAGTGTTAAAATGTTGTCAAAGTATCATTGTCCGTGTTTTAATCAACATTTACAAACTTTACTTTAATGCTTTTCATTTTATAAAATTTTTATTTTATTGAAGTTTTCTTTGAAGTGTTATAATTCTTATGTACGTGAAGTAAAAATTGTAAAATTTAGGCCTAATTCTATTATGATAAAATTTGAATAACTTTCATATTATATTAAGTTGTATAATTTAAATCAGTTTTATCATTGAATTTTTATAATACTTTTCTTTTCATGTCAAGATTGTGAGTGTAAAAATAAAAGAAGTTATTGATACGAAGATCAAAATCTCAATTAAGAAAGATATCTCACTAAAATAATAAGTTTTAATTTAATTTGATATCATACTAAAATAATGAGTTTTAGTTTAATTTAATTTTATGTATCGAATTCATAGATTTATTTTCACTTATATAAAATTGATTAACGGTAAAAAGAATTAAGTGAAACTTATAAGATGTAAATCTTTTATTATGAAAATTTTCAATCAATCATAATCATGTACACAAGTTTTATAAATTTTTTAATAAATTAATTTTAATAGTAACTCAGTCCTACGCAATCATTTTGAAAAATGAAATTTGTATATATAACTTCACAATTTTTACTGCTTAAACTCATAAAATAAAACATTATAAAATTAATAAAACTTTGTGCTAAACAAAATTAAATAATTGTAATAGTAAAATATATCTTAAAAAACTACTAATCCTTTTAATACCAAAATAATGAAATTTTACTATTTTTAAACAGCTGTAACTTCTAAAATATAATTTTCTAGATCTTTATGATATTTATTTTAAAATGACTTTAATAACATTTAAAAAAAATTAAGTACAATTTAATCTTACAAATAATCAATACTTGCATATTACAATTTTATTGAATTTTGGATTTTTAATTTTTAATTGTAGTATGATCTCTAATAAAATTATACTAAGATACTTATGAAATATAGATGATTTGAAATTATTTTGGAATAGTGTTAAATTCTCATCCCAATGCAAAAGTCACGTGCATGAGATTATTAGATTAATTTTTGTAGTCCAAAATAAAGTAACACAAGCCTTCAAAGGGTTAATTTAAATTTAGAATTATAAATAAGGGGTTTGCACGCTTGTTTTTTCAGTTGGTACATTTTAGGAATGTGTATCGGGTTTTAGTAGACAAAAATATCCCTATATATCATGGATTCTAAGTTTTAAGGTCAAGGGTATTTTAATAATTTTCATTCACAAAACTAAAAAAAAAAAAAACTCTTATCATTCCTCTCAATCCTTTCTTTTTCCTCTGTCTCATTCCAATCTTTTCTCTGTCATCCCTACAGTAGCCCTAATTGAAAAAAATCAGAAATACTTCTTACAAAAAATGATTTTATAATGAGTTTTTATTTTATAATTTTTGTCTTATCTAATTTTATCTAATTTTCACAAGCATAATGACATTGGTAATTGGCCTGGAAAAAAAATCAGAAACACTCGTTGTTAAACAATTTCTTACAAAAAATGACTTTATAATGAGTTTTCATTTTATAATTTTTGTCGTATATAATTTTATCTAATTTTCACAAGCATAATGACATCCGAAAGAATTTGTAATTGGCCTGAAAGGTTTTTTTAGAGATGATGATTCAACCTATGCAGATAAAATTAGAGAGGTTAGTGAAGATGGTGAAATTGAAGAGATCTTGAATGAACCTTTGCAAGTGTTTCTGATTTTTTCAATTGGAACTCTTTACAAAGGCAAATTTTTTAAAGGCAAGTGTTTCTGATTTTTTCAATTGGGTTACAGTAGGAATGACAGAGAAAAGGTTGGAGTGAGAGAGATGAAAGAGAAATGATTGAGAGGAATGAGAGAGGTGAGTAAGAGTTTCGGGGGTTCTTTTTTTTTTTTAAGTTTTGAGAATGAAAATTATTAAAATATCCTTAACCTTAAAACTTAGAATCCATGATATATAAAGGTATTTTTGTCTACTAAAATCCGGTACACATTGCTAAAATATACCAACTGAAAAACACACAGGCGTACGCGCGTTAGTAAACCCCTGTAAATAAATGTGAGGAAAGTTATAAGAATAAAATGGTGTTTATTGCGTCATGGACTCATTGCACACGCAAAGAGGTCAAAGATTAAGGGTTTTTGGTTTGCAATTGCAGAGTTTGAAGCTGTCAACAATGGAGTTTTATTTCTTTCGTAAAACAGATACCAACGTCTTCTTTCTTTCGACCATTCGATCACCATCACAGACAACTTTTATATATAGAAAAGGTCAAACTAATAATAGTGTTTTGTTTTTAATAAAATCAAACAAAACATAAATTATCCCTTTGTCTTCAATTTGTACGATGAAAAATCAACAATCAAATTAGTTATAAATAAAATGATTAAAAAAAGTATGATTAAAGTTTCATTTAAGATTAATTAAAACATATTTGATGCCCCAACATCACCGTTTCTATTTAACTTGATTTCTGTATATTTTTTCACAAATTGACTCCTATTACCACGCCAACTCATTTCTAATTCCTAGGACTTAGGTTTATATATTATGTCGGACTTGGACGTTCCCTAATATAAAATTATTAATCATGTATATTTTTAATTAACGATTACTAGTACATTTATTATTTATTTCAAACAACATCGAAATCTTCAGTTTTATTTTTGTAATTCTACAGAAGGATTCCAGCTTGCTACGACGGTCGATCTTTTTTGTCTTTTTGTATTTTAAGAATATTTCATTTTTAATTATCTGGCTTAATTTTGAAAATAATTTATTCATTTTTATTTGTCTTCCTGTTGTATAACTATTTTGCTATTATAATAAATATTATTTTACTTTTTAGTTATTGTAAAACAATATTAAAAGACATATAAAAATTAATGGAGAGAGTAATAATGTAGTTTTATTAATCAGAATATTTTAACTAAGAAAACCTTAGAAATTTCCATTACGATTAAAACCATGACTTAAGAAAGTACGTAGCAGGCCGAAAAGAATGGCGTTTATGTGAGAACCATGTTCATGAAAAGGGAGAAGAAAAGAAAATTATTAAAATAATTAAGAAGAACGAAAATCTAGTAAAACCTTTTTATTAAAAACTATATGGTAAGATAAATGATTATTTCACACAATTTTTTTTTCATTTAACATTATTTTTTTTTCAAAGTATAAAAATTCATTCTTTTATTATTATTTTATTTTTATACTGTATGTCAAATAAATATAAATGTGTATGAAAGAAAATTTTTTGTAAGTAAACTTAAAGGTATAAAATGATTTTTTTGTCCTTAATTATATAAAAATTTATTATCAGGGGTATGCGAAAATGAAAATTAATAAAAAAAAAGGTTAACTTCCAAATTACCCAGTGCATTTAACTTATCAACTCTTTTATATTAATTAAATTATAATTTAAACATAATATCAGCAAAACTTGTAGAGGCTTTCAAATTACCAAATGAATTTAAATTATCGACTTTTTTTTTCTATTAGTTTAATTATAATTTAAATACAATATCATCAAAACATGTAGGGCTAATATTTTGAGTCAAGGTAACGAGTTTCTAAAGCCATTTAAAAAGAAAAACACACCAAATTAATTAACTAATTAAAAATAATTTAATTTTGATTATTTCCCATATGAAAATTTAAACGTTATTTATGAATTCAATATTATTCTAAGTTTGCCAAACAACTATCATAAAACTGACATAGAGATGAAGTTCGCGTGTGTTTTTAAATACTTTGTTAGGATGAATTTTTTTTTTCTAAGAAAATAAATTTTAAATTTAACAAAATTCTACAAAATTCGTTGAGTTGAAATATAAATATGACAAAATACTATTATTATTATTATTATTATTATTATTATTATTATAATACTGTATCTATACTTTCAACTTTCAAAAGTCAACTTATGTATCTTTATGCAAATGTTGTTGTAGTAATAATAAAGAATATTCCTTTATTCTCAAATCTATTTAAATTCGATCATTCTTTTTTAAATTCATCTTAAGAAAACAGTTCCTAAATCTATTATATCCAAATTAAGACATTTTATCCTCAATTCAATATTATAAATTATAAATTATTAATTACGAAGAATCACATCATACAAAAATTAATAAAATAATCTTCACATGTTTTACTATTTTGAATTCAAGTAAAACAGGTTAATTAATTAAATTAAATGAAAAATATTATTAGATTATGAAAGCCCATGATTGAAGGTGATTGAAGGCTGACACCTTCAATGAAGATATCTTCAATATCATTAAACAATTGTAGTTTTATGGAATATTCTTCTTCCTCTGATATTACAAAGTATAAATATTACAGTTTTTTATACATTAAAATCTTAGCGAAATGCCCACACTGACATTTCTTTTAAAATTCGTCTATTTTAAGATACTAAAATCAGTATAAAGAAAAAATTTTAGTCAGCATTCAACATATTTCTCTCATTTAAAGAATCAATTTCCTTAATTACATTATCTAAGGAGCATAATTAATTTTGATACATTTTCAGAGTCAACAAATTAAAACAATAATAATTGTTAGAACTTTAATTTCAAAATTTGAGGGTATCGAAAGAAAAATAGAATTGTGAGAAAAACGTACGTGTTGTGTTTGTCTAATGTCCTAGTAGAAAACGTGTGTCACCGAGTCTACACCAAAACAAAAACAAGAACAAAAAACATTGTGTTGCTTAGGTCTTCTGTTTTCCCTTCTTTTCTTTTACCCGTTCTTCCCTTTTGACCGTTATGTCTATTCTCAATTTTTCTTCAAATCTTCAATGGTCAATATTCAAATCCTAACTCCTTCTTCCTAATATGCAACAACATACTAATTCTCTCTCTTCGGTTTGAATGCTTCTCTCTTAGAATACTATTTTCTTGGGTCTAACTTTGAACACACTGATTCCTGTGTATGAAACCAAGGACCCTGACCCTCTTCTTATATATCACAACTCACACATGAGACATGACATGCATATCTCTGTGATTCTCTATAATATATAACTACACCAACAAACCCTTTTAATATCTCATCAAATTCTTTCACCAGAAACCTCAATTCACGTTGCAGAAACAGTTTTGGCTTCTTTAATCAGGTTGCTAGAGATGGTGTTGGGATGGAGGAGGAGGAAGGGAAACAGAAAGCACAGCAAAGGTGGGAAACCCGTGATGGAGTTGGTGGTTCCGAACCACTTCAGGTGTCCAATTTCTCTTGACACGATGAAGGATCCTGTGACACTGTCAACCGGGATAACCTACGACAGGGAGAATGTGGAGAGGTGGTTTGAAGAAGGGAACATCACATGTCCGGTTACCAACCAGGTTGTGAGAAACTTTGACATGATTCCAAACCACTCTCTCAGGATGATGATCCAAGATTGGTGTGTGGAGAATAGGCAACATGGGGTGGAGAGGATTCCGACACCAAGAATTCCAATCAGCCCAATTGAGGTTGCTGAGCTTCTGATGCAAGTGAAGAACTCGGCAAGGGGTTTGGACCAATATGGCTGTCTTGAATTGGTGCAGAAAATGAAGAAATGGGGTGAGGAGAGTGAGAGGAACAAGAGGTGCATAGTGGATAATGGAGCACCTGTGGCATTGGCTTCATCGTTTGATGCATTTGCCAATGACTCGGTGGAGAGAAACGTGGTGGTTCTTGAGGAGATTCTGTCAGCTCTGAATTGGATGTTTCCACTACAACTTGAGGCACAAAAGTCCTTGGGATCTTTGGCTTCTCTAAGGTGCATGGTTTGGTTCTTGAAGCACCAAGATCTCTCAGGGAAAGAGAAGTCCATTGTGGCATTGAGAGAGCTTCTTTCGTTCGGTGATGTACAGCATGTGGAGGCTTTGTCACAGATTGAAGGGGTGAATGAGCTCTTGGTGGAGTTCATCAACAAGAGGGTCAGTCCAACCATCACAAAGGCTTCATTGAGGGTGGTTTGGTACATGGTCTCATCCTCTTCAAATTGCAGTGAGAAAATGAAATTGGCATTTGTTGAACTGGGTTTGGTTTCTTGTTTGCTTGACATTCTGATTGAGTCAGAGAAGAGCAGGTACGAGAAGGCTTTGGCCATTTTGGACTCTCTGTTCAGCTGTGAAGAAGGAAGAAACAAAGGGTGTGGGAATGATCTAACAGTTCCTCTTTTGGTGAAGAAAATTCTGAGAGTTTCACCTTTGACCACAGACTATTCTGTCTCTGCCCTTTGGAAGCTTTGCAAGTTTGGTGAAAAAGACGAAGGAAGAACCCTTCTTGAGGCCCTTCAAGTCGGTGCCTTTCAGAAGCTCTTGCTGGTTTTGCAAGTTGGTTGTGGTGATGAAACCAAGGAGAAAGCAACAGAACTTCTCAAGTTGATGAATCCTTACAGGGCTGAATTGGAATGCATAGACTCAGATTACAAGAATGTTAAGAGATCATTTTAACTTTATCAGTGTGCTTCTTATTTCTCTTTATAATTATTATCTGTAACATTTTTTTTGCCTAAAGATTGGATCTTTTCAATCTCTCTCATGGCATGGGATTCCAAGAATCCACAAGTAGATAGGAAAATAGAAATTATTCTTTTTGTATATCACAAATGAAATGATATATTTCATATATCTTACAACAATTTGTCAAAGTTGGATTCTTTCTTGTATTTTTGTGCATATTTTTTCAAAATACATTGATTGACATTGATGTGTTAAAAGATATTAAAAAGAAAATATCAATGCTTTCTTAATGTGAGCAGAGAATAATAATAAAAAATCCAATAGAAAATCTTTAGGCTTCTACTTTGTTCTATCATATTCAACAACTTCCCTACATTCTCTTATCAATTAACCAAAAGAAAATATATATACCATTTAAATTGTTGTACAATTAATAATTATACGCCTTAATTTTGCAAATATAATTTATAAATATTTAATTATTTCTTTAACTTTAAAAATGTGTGTTTGGAAAAGAAAATTAGTGACCACTTTGTTTCGAAATAACATGTGATTAGGTGGTGATGATAAGGAAGGAACAGTGGCTGAATGAAGAAATTATTGTAAAACTAGAGTAGCTATGGCATATAAAGCTAGAACAAGCCAAAACTTTAGGTATTTTTTTAGGTCATGATTGTAGGAAAGATCATTGGACTATATTCCAACACCAATAGAAAATACTATTGTATTTTGTCTTATTCTTTTATTAGTTATACTAATTGGTAATTCTTATCCCTTTCATGTTTAATTTTACTCGTCATTTTCTTAATTACAAAGTCTAATGAAATTGTATTTTGTGTATTTAAAAGATGTATAATATGATCGTTCGGTTAGTTATGAACAGAACGGACAACAATTCTTTTGATCCCATATAAAATGATCAATGGATCGATAAATCAAAATATGAACAAAATTAGTACTAAAAATAATTACATCAATCTAAGTCAAATATTATTATTTGAGTCGTAATTAGGCTAATATTAATAAAAAAACTTATTCCAAACTCTATAAATACTTGTTTAATATCTAGGTAATTGGTTATATTTTATTGTATATTTATTGCTAAAAGCATTTGAATAAACACAAGTTTTAACATCAAAATGTCTTTTTGTAAGACTGAATTATAGAAAAAAAAACCAAAAACAAAATATTAACCTAAACTTAGAAGTTAGATACCCTTAAAAAATACTTAGCATCGACCTGTAACCAAAACAAAAGATTTTTCTTAATCATAATATTTTATTTTGATGAGAGATTTTAATGTATTGTGTACTAAAAGATATCTATAATAATATCAAATATACTATTTTATCATTATCATTGTAATGCTTTAAATACAAGTCTTTCTAATAAAAAAAATGAATCTTCGACTTTGATTTTAGGTAAGATACATTTATAAATACCCTTTTTAGTCTTAATAAAATTAGAGAGACTTAAATAAAAAGTCAAATGGCTATTTTCGAGTAACACTTATTAGTATCATGATATAATGACACTTTAAAAAATTATATTTTTAAAATAAATGTTGTTTATCTATTTTAAAATAAATACTAGAGGCCACAAGTATTTATTTAAATTTTGGAGAAATGAAATAGAAAATAAATGTTTTACTATAAAAACAAAATCCACATATTGTATAGAAATATAAAATATCAATTTCAAAATTTATAAGGATATAAAAAAAACTACAAGAAACAATATAAAAAATAACTCATTTTACATAAACTAAAAACATATAAATGTTTTATTATTTTAAGTGAAAATTTTACCGCTCAACTTTCAATTTAATTAGAATTTATAATAAAAAAACTTTTGTTTTTGATGAAAAAAATTCGCATTAAGTTTTATATTCAACTTTAAAGATAAATCATTCTATTTCAAAATCAATATAGAATATAAATATAAATTACTTCGTTACAAAATCAGTTTTTATGAATATTTATTTCATATGAGGAAGAATGACAAATAAATTTGTGTTTGATGTATTATTAAATCATCATACACTTTATAGAAAACACATGGATTGATCGGGTACAAATATATATAATTAATATTTATAGGAATTTCACATCTGAGTATAAATATAAATATAAGTAATATTTATATAAATTGTTCAAATACAAAAATAAATATAAGTAATATTTTTTTAAAAAAATTATGTGTTAGTATGTTTTAAAGTTATGTAAATTGGAATTTTGTACTATTATTTTATATTAAAGAATTTTTTTTAATATGGAATTTTTAATAATATTTATTTTTATTTTGATTATAGAAATATTTAATGAATTATACCTTTTACCCGAATAAAACATAACACAAACAAAAATTTATTTCCTAATATGGAGAAGGAAAATTATATACGAAGCTTTATTTAAAAGTAGGAATTGGTATAATTTGAATTGTTTGACTTTAGCATCACTCACACGTTATCAATACTAAATAATTTAAAAAAATATTACGAACCTTTAAATTTCATCTAGATTCATGGACAATTATTACATGTATTAAAGTCACAACCATTTTGTATTGGTTTCAGTCAAAAAAACACGTAAACTCATTGTTTAAACAATTCATGCAACACAAATCTTCTAGTTTTCTTTTAACTTTGTATTATTAATAGAAATTATGGAGAATGATTCTCTATGGTGAAACTCTCCTCATTAAAAGTAAACCTTTCCTTGCAAAATTTCTATAGAAGTTTAAAAGATATGAGTTTTTTTTATTATTTACTTTCTTTATAGATTTTATTAAATTTCAGAAAATATTTATGTAAAATAATTATAAAATATGAAAAACTATGGTAATGGAGGTAGCTTATTATAATGAGGAAGCAATCGTCGTTGTTAATGACTAACATTGACTAGAGATGGAAGGGTTTTTTTAATGATGCATTTGTTACTGTATTTTTAGATCTTTTGAATTTCTTTTCATAAGAGGACTTTGAGTTTGGAATTATAAAATAAAGTTGTTCGTCATACATTTTAGAGTATGGTTTATTTTGAATTGTAAAATTCTATCACGATTTTGATCTTAAAAACGTTTCAATAAATGAAAGAAAAAATAAATATTTCTAATGTGAAAGTATTAGATATAATAAAAATAGTGGAAAATGGGAACATGTGTCTGCATTCACACTCAGAAGAGACACTAACAGATAGTATGTGTAACACAAAATTGAAATATGAACTTAGTGTGTGGTAGGATGAAAGGTGTGTCCTTGATGGAGAATGCGTGCATGACTTAGAAAATAAAATAAATGTTATGTTAAAGCTGAATAAAATAAAATAAATGTCAAGAAATGAAAATATCGAACACGTTTGACAATTTGGCGTTTGTTTGTCCAAACGCTGCTTAATAAATCATGCTGTCTAAAATTTCATTTACCAGATTTTCTGGTCTCAACTTTTTCAACCACGCGTGCTTCCTTGCTTTTGATTTTATCAATAATTGACTCACTTTGAGAACTATTTTCTAGGACTGCAGTTTAATTCTGAAAATCTAGAGTGAATATCAACTTCAAACATTCTACTTTTCATATTCTAGAATGCAATTTCAAGCATATTTAAAACCAATACAGCCTTTTTGTTAACATTAATCACTCTTGATTGTTTTATATTACAAACACATTGGCTGTCATAATCTTTTGCTGTCAGACTGAAAATAATCTCTATCAATTAAATTTACTCTGACATTCAATATCTATGAAAATTTAGCTGAAAAATAGTTTTCAAGTAAAAATCATAAAAATTAAAAATACAAAATTAAAAAAGAGATCATCTTCACTTTTACTAAAATCAAGTTTGAGAAGTGGCAAAAACAATTCTCAATTTTCCTACCGAAACCAAACACACTCTTAACATTAAAATATAGGCTAAAAACCATCAAACAACATAGTAGTCAAAAATCCATCCCAAACTGCATAATAAAGATTGGAATTTGGAAATATAGAGGTGAATGAACAGTATATAATTTGGTACATCGTCTTGGCATGTCGATAAACACTATCACTAGACTCCTCCACCACTATCCATTACTACAAATATCTACTGGGATTTGTATCTCTTCTCCACTTCCTCCATACTCTCCACATCCTTCTGATATTTGCAAATACGGCTGATAGACCTGTCACCACATACACATGCATTCATGAATCCATAATTCCATTCCCAAAGGACCAGTGATTTAAATGTAAGATTCTTATTTTACCAGTAAAGAAGAATTGATGTAATGCACAGGATTACATTCCTCTGAGCTTTGTATATCTGTGCAACACCAGAAAATATGGTCAATGAGTCAAGTCAACAATGTCAAGGTATTTTACAAATTCGTATTTTCAAATAAAGTAAGCCTAAAGGTATATTACTTTGTGAGAGATATTCAGTCCAAGAGTACTGTAGTTCAAACAATATAGAAAAATAAACTTTGGTCCAAATAAAGCAAAAAAAAAAAAACTATTTTTCCCCCTTAAAAGCTAAAACAATGCACGGGTATCAAACTAAACTTCATCTTCGCACATCACAGTCCATAATCTCACAACCTTACAAAGTGCTGTATAAGAAACTTTAAGATGGTATAGCAGTAGAGTTTCAGACTGTGCTTGTAAAGTCAATAACAAATAGCATTGTGGGGACAAAAGTTATTGCTCACATAGTGACACACAATCTATACCCATTTAATTTACTTTGCAAATATCATGGTAAATATATTGCTACACCTCATCTTCTCTATTGCATTTTGAACCTTACTATAATTGCTCATTTGGTCCCTATGGTTACAAAAACATACTTTGAGTTTTTATATCCTTTAATCCCTAAGCACATACTTAAAAATGATGCGTAGGGACTGAAAAGGAATATTTTAAGTGGAGGGACTAAAAGGAAAATACTTTTTAACCGTACAAATCAATAAGAAATTAAATATAAATTAAAACTTATTTTGTCATATAAAGATGAATGAATCAATATTCAGGTTTTGCTGATCAATTTTCATTTTGTTATTCGTATGTGGATTGACCAATGAATCAATAGTCATCACGTAAAACAATGACCCATTGATCTAATGTTTTAACCAAGTAAGTCTGACTTTAACAACTATGGATAGGATCCTATACATTAATGTTTCAAAAATCAAACCTACTTTTCCAGCTAATATTGCATTAATTTTTTTGTAGAGCAAGATAATACTGATGTTCAAACCAAGTACATAACCAAGTATTTGATAATTTCATTTTAAGAAAGTACAAACTTCTGAATTAGTTTTGTTCACAATTCACTAGCATATCAACACAATATTTTGATGTTTTACAACTCAGATCCAAAAGGTTCATTCATTTAAGGCAACATACTTCTAAAGAGTAAAGGAGGAACCCCTAAAGCAATCAACAATATTCCGAGAAGAAAATTATTAATGAAGAAAGCATTTTGTCTTGATGAGTGTACACGACAATTTAATAAAATGGTAAGTAAAACCATCAATGCAAGATGGTTGCACAATTAAACACCAATTATGAAAAAAACGTGCATGAACCTGAGGAATATGCTTTATGTGCTACGGGGGTTAAAATTAGTGATTTAGAAATCAAGATTGTTCAAGAAGGAAAACCATGTCAAGGTTAAGTAAACAGTGACAAGACAGTTTCTGCCCACTGGGCTAGGGAAACACGTGACAGAACAAAAAAATTACATACAGCTAACAAGATAAAGTTGAATAAAAAGATTAAATCACAATGGAAGGACGCAAAGTAAAAACAAGAGTGTAACTTCTTGCATTAGCCACCCACAGCTTAAACTTAAAATGGCATTGTTAAGGTCATTGAAAACTGTGTAACCTAAAGTGTTCAGGCAATAAAAAATGCAGCTGGAGACATTTGGTTATCAAAGGATAGTCCACGGAGCCAACAACCTTACATAAACAAACCAAAAACCATGAGATCGATGATATAAAGATGTTGCAAAGAACATACTGAAACTTTGCCTCTCAGGAAATGATAATTTCAGTTACTACATTTGTGGAAGTAAGCCATAATCCAAAAGGACTAGAAATTTTAAATACAAGAAAAAAAAATGAGATGAAGATTGAAGAGGATAAAAGAAATAGATAAGAAAGTAATGAGGTACAAGGACAAAGTAAAACTGAAAATAATGATAGTAGAATCCATATAGAGGTTTTCAGTTATCCTCAACAATTGATTTTCGACACATTTTTCTTTTAATTTTGCAACATTCAGACTCGTAAAATCATTTGAGGCCATGATAAGCAGCTGAAAGTCAAATAAATCCTTTAAACTACAATTCAGACTTTGCAAACAATGTAAATCATGGTACAAAACCTTTCATCACCAATAGCTTCTAAAGTTATATTTCCATCCAATATTCACTAGATTGTTCTAAATTTGAAATTAATATTCGTCAAATCTTTAAAATGATCCTTCTCGGTATCAACCAAAACAATCAAAAGTTTACATAAAGTATAAAAAACGCAGTGACCACAATTTACAATGCAAAACATACCAACTAATCCATCTTCACATTCACAGGAAATACTTACAGATTTCTCATATCGATCTCTCTCCGCAGCAGTGCAAACTTCAGAGGTACACATCAACCGATGCTCATTCTTCCAGTATATATCTACAAAACAACCACAGATCCAAAATCAGGAAAACCAACACTAGATCCCACACAATTATCCAATGGATCTCCAACGAAACATATAACCACGAGCACACAACCGACATTAAAAAAACCCATCTAAGCCATTTTCAAGCTCCCAATTCTTTTTTTTGTTTCCTATAGGTATTGTCCTTTGAAGACAATCATGTTAAGAGGCAGGATTTGACTTTAAATGCAAACACCTTCCAAAGAGGATTCGAATCTTGATTTCTCAAGTTACGAAGGAAGAGACCCTTATGCTAGCTCCAAATCTAACTCTCGACAACACAATCCACCCCAACGAGGGAAGTGAGAAAGATTCAAAACTTTCACTACCCAAGAGACACCCAGAAGGGTGATCATCCACAAACCCCAAAATAAATAGCAACTGCAACAATTGGCACCACCCATCCATTAATCAAGAAGTGAAAAGTAAAGATTTTGGTACAAACCCAGTTGTTGAAAGATGAAATTAAAGAGGCCCATTTGAAGAAAAGAAAGAAGAGCTTACCTAGAAGGTGGAACCCCGCAAAGGGGACGATGAAAAGCGCCGGTTGAAGAATGAGGGAAACGAGAGAAGCAAAACGGTTCCTGAGGAGTTTGGGTGTCGGAAGCGTTAGCAGAATGGCCACCGCAGCCTCAGCCGCGACCACGTATGTGAGTATCAACCATTGCAACGCCATGTCTTCTTCTGCTTCGACTAGTTCTTTCTCGCTTCTTCCTCTGCAATTTATGTGTTCAGATTTTTTGTTTTGGATACCTTGCTTTTCTTATGGGTTAAGATCCCAAGTATTAATTGCTATTATGTGGCGGAGTTTCTTATATAAGTTTATTTTTTATAACTTGAATTTTAGATTATAAAATAAAAATAATATTGTTTATTTTTAAGAAAGTAGTAAGTTAATAATATTATATAAAAATAATAAAGGATGATAATTTTATAAGGTTTACTCAAAAAATTACATGAGAAATTATATGGTACTCAAAAAATTACATGAGAAATTATATGGTTGAATTGATCGAACTGAACACTTATCAATCAAAGTTATTAGATTTTACACTTATCAATTAAAGGTATTAAGTTTTAGTTATGATAATAATTGAAGTCGAAATTTTGTAATTCTAATTTTTATTATTTATTTATAATTTTATCAATTAAAGGCATTAAGTTTTATTTCTAAAATAATCAAATTTGAATTTTTTATTTTATTTTTTATTATTTATTTATGATTTTATGGAGTAAAAATTAAAAAAAACTAAAATGTAATAGTTTTTTGTTTTATTTTTATTATTTATTTATGATTTTATGTCGAAGTATAATATAAAATTTTATGTTTTAGTTTATAATCAAAGTTAAAAAATTATACTTTTTACTTTGTCTCGTTACTGAAAAATTATATTTTTTACTTTGTTTTGTTATTCAATCAAAATTAAATATTTAAAATAATCGGTGCTAAAACTCTTCTTTGTAATGAATGAATAAAAGCATGTGAAAAATACTTATTAACAACGACAAAAAACAATTATATTTTGATGTAAATGTGAAAAATTGTTATCTCATTCAACACTTATGTTTTATTTATTTTTTTAATTTGATTTTTTCAGATGTTAAAGTATAGCCAATCGTAATTTAAAATATAACTAATAATATTTCAGTTATAATATAAATGAAAATTTTGATTGCAACATCTTCCATATTTTAAAATTCTAATTTAGTTTATGTATTTATAAATAAATCATGTATTTAATTATCAATTACCTTTTAATTTAAATAGTGAATAAATTTTGCATCTTATCACCCATCGAATCAGTCAACATTTTCAAAAAACAAATTTGAAAAGTGATTTCTAATCTTAATTTGTGTAAACCGAACAGTCATTTTTATTAAGCCGATCATTATTCAATCATCACAAATCTAATATATTATTTACAAGTAAAAATAGATCAAAATATATTTATTGATTTTTAAGTGTAATTATAATTAAAAATTTATTTCGAAATCTATAAATACACATATAAATTAAAGAATGTAATGATTATATTTACTTTGAATTTCAGATTTTCCTATAATAACCCACTAAACCTATTTAACTTAGGAGAGTGTCATAGTACTTTAACATATACGTTGAACTTGGAAAATGAAGATAAAGGACTAAAGAAATGCTAAACAAATTTTAATAAATTAACAAGAATATTTTAAATATATAATGGTAGAAGATAATTGCTTTCATTTCATAAGGCCTAGGTATTTATCCTGGAACCTAAATAAAAAGTTATAATTAATTTATAAATGAAAAAATAACCGTAAACATAAAAACAACGACAAACTTTCATATGTTTTAAATGTACTTCAAATAATGATACACATAAAATTTATAATAGTTTATACATATTAGTTATAGGAAATAGACTAAAAGAATTTAAAAAAAAGTGAAGTTAACAAGAGTAGGATTAAGTCAGCAACTCATTAAAACTCTCTGAGGAAAAAAGCCATCAAATATACTTTACTGCATAATTAATCTCATCTAATTCAAAACAGATTGGTGACTCTTTCTCTTTAACACATAATATCCAAATGGTCTTGTCTCACCCTATGTATATATATCCTCATTTATACTTCATATTCTCTAAAACCAAAACAATTAGGTTAAAAATAATGATAAAATGATACATTTACATTCATTTCATACACATTATAAAATAAAATAGTTATAAACAAATAAATATTTATACTTTTATAAAAAAAAGTAAAAAGTAACAAATGTAAAATATTTATACATCAAAGTACCATTTATGTTAAATTAATTATATGATACAGTCATCTGTGAAAGTTGTGATTTCTAAGAGAATGAGAATATTAGCTATTAGAAATAAGCAGAGAGAATGAGCATATATATGCATGCAATGTGCAGGTACAGTGCTTGAAGAAAAGAATTAGAAGAAGAATAATTAGCAAGAGATGAGAGAGTGAGGGGAATGAAGCCTGGTCCGAGAAAGTCACAAGTGCTTTGATATATTATATATATATATATTATATATACATATATATGATTGGCATTGAATGCATTGCATGATAGTGGACACTCCAACATGCACAACATCATCTCTCGAGCCAAGGCAACATCCCACATCCTCATTCTCGACCTTCTGCATATCATGACATAGCTACCATGGATTTTCTGATAATGCTGGGAAACTGTGTGAGGAAATATGAGAGCTGAGAGAGGAAGAAGAAGAAGAAGAAGAAGGAGAATGGTGCATTCATTGCTATCTTGACTTTAGAACTTACCCTGTGGAAGTTGGAGGCTCTCTATTGTCGTTGAAGGTTTCCACATTGAGTTACCATATTGCTGCATGCAAGGTTACGGTGCTGTTTCATTTCCACTGTTCTTTTATATTATAAATCCTTCATTCACAGTTTCTGGCTACAGTAATTCATATATAAACAGTCTTTAGATGAACTGAGTTAATTGTTTATTTGAATATTTTCATGATATGACTGTCTGATGATGATCTTAAATATCAGAAATATCAGTAGCAGAAATAAAAATGCTGTCAAATATTTCAAAACACAGAAGAGAAGAAAAACTAGAATGTTTACACGTGCAATAGTTGAGTGGTATAATGTGCTTAATGAGTGCCAAGTAATATTGAATACTTGAAATGGTCCTATTTTGCTTTTGTCATTTCCCTATTTTCCACCTTTCTTATGTATATATGATTATATCTGCATATTTTAATTTGAAAATGGACACAAATGAAAAATTAAGGCGTTTCTTGGCCTTGCCCCATCAGTTTCTTAATTATGTACGTATTGGCTTTATTTTAAGTTTATTAATTGTTCTATCTACAAATAACTTTATTAAAAAAAAATAAACTTGTTTGTGCATTCTTAAGAAAAAAAGCCCAATGTAGCAAAGATTTGTTGTTGTTTATTTTAATGGAATGGAATTGTGGAGAAAAAAAAATTGTATATGGTAAGGGATACTTGAGGGGGAGTTATTATTGTTGTAACTTTACCTTATTCTTGGTTATGCCCCCATATATTATGGTGCATGGACAAACCTAAAGGATAATAAAAGTATTCCCAACATCAAAATGATGACTATATGAGATTATATCTTCAAAAGTAATTCTTACCATAGCCTCTCTTCTTACTTATTTTTCAATAATTATTGGCTTTAGATTAGAAATTAACTTGCCATAATGGTTTTTGTGTATGTCTTAAAGAAATGTTCCTTTTACACATATAATTTTTTTATGATATTATTTTTTTTTGTTTTTGAAAAATAATATAAAAATTTATTTTTTTATGATCATTTTATTTTTATAATATGTCAAATGAATATAAATATGTATTATTTACCATTAAACACTACTCAATATTGAACGCAGCATATTTGAACTTTATTTCTTATTAACTATAGAATTCATTTGGCATGATGTATTGAAGTTATGAGTAAGAAAATAACAAACTAAAAGAATAAAAAAAAACTTCTCATATACTGAATATGGTCTAATTGGTGTGGTGTGGGGGGGGGGGAGCAATGAAAATTGATGTTCAAAATTTTCCAAATTAAAAAACATAAAATGTTTTTTGTGCTGTGTTTTTCATGATGGAGGCATCAGTCAAGGGGTTACTACCTCACCGCCACATTTTCTCCCTCCACCTCCACCTTCCCCAATTCTATTACCAGATGGTGGGAAGGACCAAAAAACGACAGGGGAGAATTACACAAGAACCGGGGGGGGGAAGCTAATTATTTACTTTAACCCTAAAATCTATTTTTCTACCCCTTCTCACCCACCTCCCAACCCTTCAGATTCTCACCTAAATTCCATCAGATTTGTTTCTCATCTTCCATTTTTTCTCACAGTGTGATGGTGCTTCAAGGTGCTGGTTCAGAGGTGTGAGAGGTTCAGAGACGTAAAGGTGCGTAACAAAATCCTAAATTTATATAAAAAAATAAAAAAATATAAAATTATAAATAGGAGAATCTGTAATTTTTTAAAAGGATTGATGTGAGCAGACGATCAACGGGATGTCAACATCCGTTTAAGGGAAACGGATTGTCAAACATCTTGCGGGCGACGGGATATAGACATCAGTTTCAGATCCACAAAACGGATTACCCGGACATCCGTTTTTGGTCTGGTATCTTCTTCTTTATCCAACACACGCACACAGCAAAAAAACGCAGCAGAGCAACAACCACAACACAGAGCAAACACAGATATTATTGCATTGCATTTAAAAAAAATTTAAAAAAAATATCATCACTAACTTGTGAGGACAAAGAAAAAAAGGAAAAATGGAAGATGAGAACACAAATCTGATGGAGGTTTGGTGAGAATCTGAGGGTTGGGAGGTGGGGTGGAGAAGGGAGGTAGGAAAGAGAGATTTTAGGGTTAATTTGTTAAGTAAATAATTAGAATTAAAAAATAAAACAGGTTATTTATGCCAAATTATAAAAGGGTAGTTTTGTATTTACAAAAATATGTAATTAAGAATTGGGGAGGGGTGGTGGAGGCCGACCTGAAAACTTTGTCCCGGTTGGCGCGAAGGGAGGTTAAACACCCATCAGTATAATACGTTCATTACAGGGCCAAAGCAAATGGGGCCCCCCAATATCCATTGAATAATTTACTTTAGTTTAATTTGCACATTATAACTATTTTTAACAAGGAAAAATCTATAAATGAAATTTTACCTCAGTGATACAATAAAAATTAATTCATCACACATAAAGTGTTTTCCAATGTTGAAAAAAATTTTGTAAACATGTGGAATC